CCATCATGTCTGTCCATCCAACCATCATCCATCCATCATACATCCATCCATCATCTGTCTGTCCATCCATCATCCATCCATCCATCCATCTGTCAATCATCCATCCATCATCTATCTGTCCATCCAACCATCATCCATCCATCATACATCCATCCATCATCTGTCTGTCCATCCATCATCCATCCATCCATCCATCTGTCAATCATCCATCCATCATCTATCTGTCCATCCAACCATCATCCATCCATCATACATCCATCCATCATCTGTCTGTCCATCCATCATCCATCCATCCGTCCATCATACATCCATCCATCATCTGTCTGTCCATCCATCATCCATCCTTCCATCCATCAATCATACATCCATCCATCAATCATACATACATCCAACCATCATCCAACCATCAATCATACATCCATCCATCCATCCATCATCCAACCATCCATCAACAATCCAATCCATCCATCCATCCATCCTCCAACCATCCATCCATCCATTTCTCCTTTCAGGGTCACAGGAAGCTGGCCTTCTTATCTCTAACAGTCATTGTATTTGAGGCTGGGGACACCCTGGACATGTCTCGGGTCCATCAGAGGGACACACAGAGACAGAGAGGGGACAGCTCTGACCGCTGCGCTGCTGGTTGTTTCAAACATTCACAAGAGTTTTGTTTTTATGAAGAGAGAAAAGTAGGAGCATCTGGGCTCAGTCTAATAGTGTCTCTGTGGGTTTCCTGTTTCTCTCTGGGTTTCCTGTCTTCGTGGTGTGTTTTGTGAGTTTGTGCACACCACTGTTGTTTGTTGTCTCAGAGGAAACGTGTCTCAGTTTTCTGACAGTTTGAGTTCTAAATATTAACTGGAGAGAAGAATCACGATTATGGACAATGAAACAATTATTAGTTTCAGTCATGTGTAGCGAGGCAGTTAGCTGAGTCGTGCGTGTGTTTGTGTGTGTGTGTGTGTGTGTGTGTGGGGGGGGGGGTCAGACCCCTCCCATTGAGAAGAGGAAGCAGATTCTCGGAAATACACCTCTTGTCACAGGGAGGAAGTGACGCAGGTTGAAATCCTGACATCATGTTTTGTGCCTGCAGCAAAAATCTTCATTATTTACTGACTGAACTTATTGGAGAAATAATCTGATGGTTAATAACACTCATCTACAGATTATTGGAGAAATAATCGGATGGTTAATAACACTCATCTACAGATTATTGGAGAAATAATCTGATGGTTAATAACACTCATCTACAGATTATTGGAGAAA